AAATGTGAGAATACATTTGTGTTAGTAAAGACTTCAAGCATGTAACAACTATACAGTACATACTAACTGTTCTCTGTGTAGTTGGGATAAGTACTGAACTGAAATTACAGCAAGATAGAATCTGGTGGGACCACAGAGAAAATTCTCTAACATGAAAGTGTAGTGAAGCACAAAGGAAGGGGTAGAGGCTCTGCTACTGAAGGTCATTAAAAACAGGTTAAGTAGCCTGACATATGCAGAAATTATCTTGACTTGGGAAAAGGAAATAGTTTGGACCTCTGTTTCATTTGGGGCCTGTTCCAAAGACATGATCCAAAAGGCTAAATGATCCTTCAGTTACAAATAGCTAAGAGCCCCCGTCTTTGTGACCTCTTGATATTTCTTGAGAATTCCTGATTGTGTGAGACCTTAGAAATTTGGAAACAGTTGTGGTTTATTAGAGTGCCTTTTGAAGGGGCGGAAAATGCAATGTCAATAAATTTGCAGTGCCAATGTGCATAAAAATATGGGCAGAAAATCATTGAAGAATTCTGAAAAAAGAAATGAGTCAAGCAATGACAAGTGAGGAGGAGAGAAAAAAAACATTAAGGCAAAATGCAGATTTCAATTGAACGCTGCTACAACCATGAAATGACCAGTGGATCTTAGGAGAATGATGCAGGTAAGAACAGAAATGTCCCTCGGCTGCTGTCACTGACACACAGATCCTCCGCAACAGATGTTAAGAGCAGCCAAGTTTGCTGTCCTTAAGCACTGCAGATATCCATAACATTTCAGCCTGTGTGGGATGACTGAAGATGGGAGACATTTGAGAACATCAGTGATGTTCTGTTCCGTTTCTTCCTAAACAGAAAACTAAAGATTGTTCTGTGTTGAACTGAAACCAACTCTTCTTAAGCCTCTCAGGCAATCATCCTGTGCAACTGAAATTTATTCTCACATTCTCAGACTTGCTGAATGTCCTTTGAACAACTATGGCATTGACATGCTGCATTATAGTAACAGAAACCCAATGATTTATTCAAGCAAAGCCCTGGATGCAGAAATCTCTTCTAAGTTATGTACTTAGGCTAGGGTTTTCTAAAGGTTAAGTAGGATCACTTTGGAAGTGAAGTTCCTGTTGGCTTCTCTGAGAACTGTGAGTTCTCTTATCCAGTCTCCTTAGAGGTTTTCAGTCATATGTTATATCAAATTATTAAGACCAACATAATTTCCACTAGACATGATCACTGTTACCTATTAGTTTTCTAGCTGTTAGTATTCTCCTTGCAAAATTCCAGATGTCATCATTCATTCTTTCCACTCTTTCTCCTTAGAAGAAGAAAAATTATAGGTTGCCTTACACTATGAAAATCCTGGAATGTTGCTTTCCTTCCACAGCAGCTCAGCTGCTGGTCAATCCCTTAAACAGAGAATAGTGCATATTCTTAAAGAGAAATATTTCTTCATCAAATCTGTGACATTTCCCAGATGACAGTCTTTATACAACCTTCAGGGAGTATACATGATATGTCTTGTTTCAAGTTTTTATGTATTTTCTGACTTTTTGAAATTAGTTGAATATTTAAGCTTGTTTAATGCTGCAGATCAAATCCAAACTGCAGCAACAGAACAAGCCTTCCTGTGATGCCCCATGAACTAGAGTGGACCCGTGGAATGCATCTATAAAAGCATACATTTTTTCAGCATTCCCAATAACTTAAGAATCCATTGAATTTTACCTGCCACCTTACCAATAAATACCATTTGCATTTTTGAGGTTTCTGTGATTTTGTGAGGCATGTATAACATCATAGGTGGTAGTCAGAAGAAGCTGTTTCATAGCTGTAGTTTTCAGTGCCTCTAATTATCCTTTTACAAAATCTTTCTCTGATTTGTCATGCTTTCATACTGCCTCTCAGATCTTTTCCTTTGTGTAAACTGTGTAACTGTTTGCCCCTTTTGCTGTAGTTGCATTCAACTGTCATCGAATACTGATCCTCTAACATTAACCTTTAAGATCTTTAGTAACAAATACTTAATTCCTTTTTGTTTTATGATTACCATTCTTTTAGCTCAAGGCCTCTTTTTTTGGAACTCCCTTAAACTTCCAGTATCTGGGAGAGTGTGTGAAATTGGAGAGATACTACAAAGTTAAGTAATGGTGTATGTGCAAGGCTCAGGAGCTTGCTTGCTGCCCACCAGCATTTCATCAGATACACAGCTGTTGCCTGTTCAGCAATCCCACCAATTGATGCCACTGGGTACTTCTGAATCTACTCGTCTGCCTCAAAACTTATGGCAATGTTTAGTCTTTTAATTAAGTTACCCAAAATTCTGGATAAAATCAGATACTGTTTTTTTAACCTTGCTAATCCAGGCTAATCCAGGGAAGGGGAGGGGTAGAAGACTATCAAGTGCTGCCACCAAACTTCCAGGTGAGAACCAGAGATCAGACAGGCTGTCTGCTACACTGCTGCGAAGTACTTCTTTTGTGGCAGCTTGTGCATCAACAGCAGGCTGTCCTTTAACTAAACTGCACGCAGCAGGGAACCTGCCCGCCGTTGTTCTGCGATGAGGCCACTAGAGGGAAGTGTCAGAGTGCTCTGGCCATGCCTTCTCATTAGCCCCGCAAGCCTGGTATCAGAAGCTTCGCTGGCCTTTCTTTGACTCCAGTAAGAAAGTCTCTCAGACCGTGTGTCATTTAAAATGCCTTTTATTAGAGCTAACGCTATGAAATGAGAATAGGGTAGGTAATGCAGGCGAGGAGCCTGGAGTGGTGTAGCATTGAGCAGGATGGTAACACATGTTCAGGATTAACATAGTCTGTGTAGTGGAGTTTTATATTTCAAGAACTGAATTTTTAACTACTGATTTCACAAATGACAACACTGTTCTAATAAACACTATCTTTGTAATTCCATCATACTGAAATGTCAAATGAGTCTTGCTTATGATTTTTTTGAGATTTTTTCTTGTTGAAAATATGTATCTAACTAAAAAAGTTAATCTAATTAAAGATGAAATAGTTTTAAAATCTCTGAACTTCAGTTGTTATATCAGCACAAGAACCATCTGGAAAGTTTGAATACCATAAAAAATAAATATTTTCAAGGATATTTGAAGATTTTATCACAGCAATTTTTGTTTTGGTTTATTGCTGGAAGTTGCTTTCCTAAAATATTTGAAAACATATAATTAGCAAATTTTATTCAGTAATATCAGCAATAATTTATGTTGTACAAATAGTGCATATTTTATTTTACTTTTAAGACTATTAGCAAAACATTAATAAAGATGCATGATTTTACCATTATCTACATCTCATTAAATTTTGAAATAGCTTTATTTTCCCTCTGTTTGGTATTAGAAATTGTTAATGAGTTAATGAGTCAAATGGAAGTGATGTAGCTTAAGGGAGCATCTGAGCACAATAAGCACAACAAAAATAAATCTGTAAACATAAAGTTGTTTGATAAACTTCATCTCAATCAGTAGAAATTGCCTATTTTTATAGAGTAAGAGTTCCTTCTAAGAGAAGAAACCAAAGAACTGTGCCATTGCACTAAACCAGTTAAGTGTCAGTAGGCAGAATTTAGTTAATCTACACTTGACTGAGTCCGACTGTGTTAATAACCTCATTCATAGCATGATGCAATGTTAAGATGTTAATGCAAATCATGTGATTGCATATAACTTGCAAACAGGAAAAAACAAACCTAAAGCAAAGATTATTAGGTTTGATATGACCATCTCACTTTATTCACACCTGTTTCTGTTTTCATAAAAGAGTTGTAGATAGACCTAAAGACTCTATTACTCACTAACCTGTCAACCCTTTCTTTTTACTCAGTTTCACTTATTTATACTGCAAAATAGTTCTCACTGGTTTTCTTTTTATAATTTCCAGTGCTTAAATGCAGAGGTGGCAGTGTGCTTCTCAAATAGCTGAGGCAGATTTTTAAATCAGAAAATCATGAGCCATTCCAACCCATACATCTTTAATTCAGGATTTCCAAAGCAGTTTCTTGTACGTTAACACTCTCCAGGAATTCTGAATTTGGTGGTATCAAGTGGCTATAAAAGTAATATATGATTTTTTTGCAGTTCTTGAATCATGATATTAATGTCATGTGAATATTTGATGGTACTATTAAAGAAAAATAGAATCAGTCTGGTAGTCTTTTTGCTGCTGTAGGGTGTATCAAGATGTAATCCTTAGCTTCCCTGCCAGCAAATTCCTCATTAAGCACAAGATATCCTAAACCAAATCACCAGCAAAAACTCTCCAAGATGCTAATATATGTAGAGTTCTTTTAAGCAGATAATTCTCTTTCTACAAAATAGCCAGCTGAAATACTATATATTGAAACCTATGATTTGGGTGAAATAGTGAAGAATCAACATAAATCAAGTTTAGGATTTCACTACAAACATACAATTCCATCCTAAAATGTTAGTATTGATTTACACAAATATCTCTTATGAGTTAATCCAGACAGATTTTTTTGATTGATCTACAACTCCTTTCAAAATGAAGTGGGCACACACTGTAATTTTTTTATGCAATTTTGATGCAATAAATAGTGAAGTCTACTAGCATTTTGATTAAGATTCCCTGTGACAGTTTGGGCTAAGAGCCAAACAAAGGGAAATATTCAGGAAAGCTGAATCACAACTGAAGTTCTGTGTTAGCAATGATTTCAGCAAACGGGAATAGTTGTGGACACATCTATGTCTTTATCATACCAGTATGGCTTGGTGGAAGTCTGTTTCACCTTTGAGCTGACAGAGGCACAAACCTCAATGTTCTGAGAGCAGGGCTGCCCATAAAACAAGCAATGGCTTTTCAGAGAGTTTCAACAGAGATTCAGAGGGGTGTTTCTACCAGGTGTGAGAAGTGGGATAGGGGAGAAAAGCGAAGGAGGAGGCAGAACAGCTGCAGCAGCTGGAGTTGCAGGATCAGCTTGCCTAGCAACCCTCGTTCTTAGGTAAGGGCATCTACTTCAGTAGCAGCAGCACATCCGAAGCAGCCCTGACTTGGTGAGCTGGGTGCATGCTAGGAAGCATGGGAGCTGTTAAAACACCAGCCTTAGGGCTCCGAAGCCTTCTGAGTTTATTGGTAGGTAAAATACATAGATCTTCTTACCAGAGCCTGTTCCTGTGGTCTGTGCATACGGAAAGAATTGTATATGGCTTATTTCAGTGAGGCAGCTATTTTTATCATTTGTTGAATGTTACTTTAGTAATGTAGAAAACAAGAGTAATATTGAAAAAATGAGTTGTATAATTCCATCTTATTTTGTGAATGCTGTTGCATAACCCAGTAAACTATTACCCTCCAATAATATATGAAAAAGTTAGAGCAGATTATATGAATAGAAACTATTCTCTTTTACTAAAGGTGGAATATGACCAGGGTGTATTAACATAACATTTTGTTCTGTTCATGTATACCCTTGAGTGTGTATTTTAATATATGTTTAATATATCTATTATAATGTATAATGTATATTTTGCTACTATTGCAGTTCAATCTGTGTTTAGTTTGATGCTATATTCTACCTGTAATAGGCTTATTCAGTATGAATATTAGCTATAATTATATATTTTAACATTTATATAATTAACAGTTCTATTATTTTATTAAAGGCATAACAAAAACGACTTTTTATTTATGTATAAATGATTAATAGAAACTAAGTACTTCGGAGCAGAGGGGTTGCCATTTTAACAGATTTTAAACAAAAAAAAAGTCTCTTTAAATCCTAGAACCACATGGTTTTTTTTAGAGAAAACCTTTTGCAAGAGAAGGATTCATCAAGTCACCTCATTGATTCAAGGCTAATTTCTGCATAAATCAAAATAATATACTGATTGAATTTGTATACCCTTAAGAAGTTGTCATTTTTTACTCCAGAAGTTGAAGAGAGTAAAATGTGGCAGGCTATGTGTCTGCATTTGGTTTGATTTCTTTAGAAGAAATGTAGACTTTGGAAATAGAACTTACCCTTCCCTATTTCCATACTGAGTTTTTTGGGTCTATTCAAATGCTTTTTTTCTGGCAGGTGGTATCCGTGGAGGGGTGGCATGATTTAGATAACAAAGACTATGACTGTTGGCCCCTGGAAAAACCAGATGAGTATAACATGCTGGACTGTGGAGGTGAGTGAGTCCTCGAGCTGCTCAAGAAAGATCGTCTTGTGCCTAGGAAATGGTTGAAAATCCAAAAGTGAAATACTTGGAATCATACTTGACTCATGGGGAGTGTTATGCGTGGTGAAAAGTATCTGAATCGGTGTCAGCCTGTCTTGCTAGGAAAATAAGTGAATGAAAACAACCAAATATACTTCAGAGCTATTATTTGTCCAGTATTCATTTGTTCCAGAAGAAGTAACAGCAACAGCTGAATCCCTTCCCCCATAAAGAAACTGAATACATTTGATTTCCTATTAGAAAACCAAATGCAACTCAATCCAAACAAAGCAGGCAGGCAACTCTGCATTGCAGCAAATCCTATTGAGTCATTGCTGGCATTTTTGTAGTGTCAGTTCAAAAGTAGACTGTATTTAAACCCTCCGGCCAGAAAGCAGAATCACAAATTCTGTACATCATGCTTTTCCACCTTGCTCAAAACTGTGTTCTGTGAGTACTTAAAAAACCATCTGAGATATTTAACCACTTTTTTTAGTCAGTTTCAAAAATGAATTCACATGATACAATAAAAAATGGAATAATTTTTTTCTTTTCTGTTGGAAATGGATTGTTTCAGGTTGAAAAATAATTAAAGAGCTACTGAGATATGGGAAATTGAATTTAAATATGAGAAGACTCTTTTATACTGTAAGGTGATCAAACAGTAGAACAGGTTGCCCAGAAAAGTAATGGTTTCTCCATTCATGGAGATTTTCGTAACCCAAGATCTAGAGCAATCTGCTTTAGGTGATCCTGCCTTGAGCAACTCAGGGTTAGGCCAGATGATTTCCAGACGTGTCTTTCAACTATTCTATGGTTGTGTGACTCTGTAACTGATAAATAACTGATGCAAAGGAACACTGTTGTTTATGCTGTAAAAGATAGGACCAGAGACAATGTGTTTCAATAGGTTTTTTTTTTTTAAACTAGAAACCCTGAGAAAATAACACTGGTAAAACACTCCAGGACATAAACTGGTGGGTCACACTCTGAGCTCAGTATTGCAGTTAAACATTTTCCAAAGAGTTTTGTCGAAAAAGTGAAATTCAAGAAATATCTAGATGATTCTCAACTAGGACTTTTATACCTGTATTAATTTACTATTGCTGACACTGAAACAACTATTCATCAGAACAGTTGTTCTTACAAATAATCAAAGTGTGAATTGAGTACAAGAGAAACTAATATCAGCAGGTTACTTAATAAAACTCTATCCTTTAACACCAATTTTAGAATGAACTCCAAGCTCGATTCTGGCTTTGTTTGTGGTTCTTCCTTGTCATATTCTGAGCACTGCTAAAAGCAAAGAGCTTTGTATATTTGCTAATACACTGCGGCCTCATTGCTGTGGATTTAACACAAAGCATCTAGATGTGAGAGTATCTGTCATTGAAAGAAGTGTTTTGTTTATCTATGTGAGAACTTTCAAGGAAAGTAGAAAGTAATTTAACTGAAATTTATGCTGACCTTCTCTGAAACACAGCTCTCATGCCTTTAGGGCAAATGATTTTTCGTAATTTTTTATGTTGTAGTTTCTCTCATAGTATTAGCATTTATGATGTGCGTTTACTTTTCAGGGAAGATATGAAATCTAGAGGTTATTTTACAATTTGTTTCTTTATATCTGAAAGGGAATTATGTTTAAGGGAAAAAATAGCAGCTTCAGTAACAGTGCAAGTGAAGAATACTTTGTAAAAGCAACTCCAGATTAATAAAAGTTTATAATTGAAAAACAACAACAACAAAGCTAGGATCTCTTGGAAGTCAGGTTTACCCATCATCTGCAGAAGGGATTTAGAACTTCCTTACAAACTGAGAGCTACAAACTTGCATGATGTGAGTAATCTGATGTGGTGCAAATTAACACCTTCATCCAGCAATATGGAAAGAGGTAGGTGAATGGAGCGGGAAGATTTTGATAGCATTGTTTAACATATGGATTAAAAACTTCTCCCACCTCTTATCTAAATTCATTCTCCTGTTCAGAGCAGGCAATACAGTGTCTTAGAGTCAAGATAGATGGCTGGGATAAATTTTCCCAGCAAACGCGTGGATGGAAATGGAAGATGACAGATGTCTGAGTAGCATTCCTTCCAGTCACCTGTTCTAGATATGATACAATTTTATAAAATGAGAATGCTTTCTTAAATATACCATTATTAGTATACATAATTCATGTTTCATGAGGGTAAGGGTTTTGACTGAATTTCATGTGTGCTAGTTAGCTGTTCTTCTATAATAAGGTGTGCCTCATTATGCCGCCAAGAATGAAGAGCAGTATTGGCTTGCCTGATGAAAGAAGAAGGCAAATATATCAGGACAAGTAGCACTGAACTATACTGGGAGCAAAGCTACTTTAGATAATGCAGCCATATTTTTTGTCATATTTCTGCAGTTTTTTTATCTTTTCTAAGTGAATGTCAGAAGTGTTCAATTGATGTGTATTTGCGTTTAGGTATACAGCCACTAAAATGGATAATTGTTTTGGGCTCATAAAAAGCAGTGGGACATTAGACACCACAGAGAAAGTTTTACATTTGTATGCATCTGTAAAGTAGAAAAGTATAGCAAATATGTTTGCCCATGATTATGTTGTTTCTAGGCCTGGAGATGGCATGGGTTCAAAGGCCTCCAGAAAAGACTGTGAGTGGGGAATTCTTCAACGTGACCTATGCAGTCTTTGCATCAGATAGCTTTTTTCAGTATGCGGTGCAAAATGGAATCCTTTCTCACAGGTATTACCTCCTATAAGAATGCTTTCATGGTCATGATTATATGAGGATTCTGTGTGTATGTTTTTAGTAGCAAATTGGAATATACCTCTGGGACTCCTTGCTAATTCCTTGCATCTCTTGAAGTCTCTTATAGTTATTTGCCAATGGCTTTACTCTCAGAGCAGCCATGAAGGCATGCTTACCTGCATGGTCAGGGATAGGGTACATCAACCTGTATCTGCATTACTGTCTCAGTGCAATTCTGAACCATCATTTGCTGCCTTCTCTACACAAAGAGTTTACAAGTGAAGTTTAAGCACAAGTCCCAGACTAACTGTGTATTAATCAGAAGTGTGTTTGAGGTGCACAACATGTATATGAAAAAGAGGCTGGCCCAATCCTGAATCCACTGAATTTTGTGATGAACTTATTTTGATTTCTGTTCTACAAAAGCTTATATAGATCAACTGAGACACTGTGTTGGTAACTGTACACAACAGAGGTTAAATACAGAATGTTTTTATGTTCAGATCCCAGTCACTAAAAGGGTAATACACCCTAATTTTACATTTTTGCCTGTACATAGCATTTCTCCACCCATATACAGCAATGTCTGGGACAAAGGCTGCAGCTGCATTTCCCCATTTTCTGTGCTGTACTTGGTTAGTGTAAGAGATGCTTATGGAAAACCTCACATTTTTCTTTGCCAGTCTGTGTTCACATCACAAAGTTCAGATTGTAGAAGCTGTTATCCAGAGAAAATTTTTTTCATATTGAAAGATGACCTGTAATCCATTTGCAATGGCAAAAAAGAATTTATACTGTATTTTGATCATCTGTGTATTCTGGCTACAGAGTTTAGCAAAACTTGTTTATCACATTTTCTGAAATTTATGGCTAGTAGTAGTTCCTGTAACTTAACCATAAAGCAGATTTTTTTCACTGCTTGGAAATTAACCTGGATTTTTAGTCTTTCCAGAGAGACCCACTCTCTTAAATCAGTTAGGAATTCAGGAAATTCTGCTCTTTTTGTGCTTATACATTTCTTGCGTATAGATATCAGAGGGCAGATATTTAAAAAGAGAGAAAACTGTGCTACATTTTTCAAGGGGATCAAATTTGCACCTCATTTTAACTCGATTATCTAGTTGACACTTATCTTACAGTGGCTCACTCAAATATGGCTGAGGCTAACAAGTCAACCTATGGGTATCAGCATAACTGGGTGGAGCCATGATGAAGATATTGAATAAAAAACACATAATACAGGGTAAATTTCTGAAAGCAGCTGTGAAGACAAACACATGATAGAAGTAGGCACCAACTTGCCTAAGTATTTTTTTAACTGCCAACATGGGTTCAAAGGCCAATGGATTTTATCAAGGATTTAAAAATTTTTTTATCTCAGGTTTCAAATATGAACCCTACAACTAAGCCTGGCTATATCTACCAAGTAAGCCATGTTTGCAGAAAATTATTTTATTTTGAAGCCAAATTTATTGGGGTAATAATCAACTGAAAGAATAATTGAGGAAACAATGGGAAGAATTGTTGCATCACACATTTCCAGATAACTACATTTTTCTTTCAGGGATAAAGTTACAAAAGGCTTACCTTGTTTTGCAGAGCAGCCTATTCCTAAAGTCCACTTTTTGCTCTAAATTTTGGGTTTGTCAAATTGTATCTGATGTTATCGTTCAATATCATTATTTTGCTTGGTGGTCTGGGTTTTGAAGCAAAGACTGGAACTGAATGATGCGTATGAATCACAAGCACAGATGAAGTTATATAATTGACAACACTGAGAATGAAAGTAGCCAGAGACTCATATTTCTGATAGTGGCAATAGAGTAATGGTATATTTTTCTGTGCCAGATGTGGCAAAGCCAAGTGACCCCATCTGGTCATGAAATCAGTTTGGGGAGACAAGTGAAGGTTGCTACCTGCTTGCTCATTTATGTGCCAGAAGTCTCTACTGCTTGGCAGTAGGCAGTGGTCCAGTTGGAGAGCAATCTTCATGGCTCCAGGAATGCTTGAACCAGAAACAAAACAAAAGAGAAAGAAATGGCGTAACAGTGTTTATTTCATTGTGTATGTTTTTGCTGCTATTATTCCTGTGCAGGATAAAGAACAGGCTCTAATGTGCTTGTTGCAATTCTGAGGAATGAGGAATAATATAAAAGTTTCTCTCTCTCTCTGCTGCTTGGCAAGCAATGCTACTGCTGCAAAAGAATTCTGTGAGGAGCATGAATGTCCTGCCAGCTGGAAAGATGCAAACGGGGAGAACTGTTGTGTCTACCATGCCAACATCCACTCCTGTCCTTTGGCCTTCATGGTTAGTATAATGTGCTCTGTTCTTGCTACTGGATGAGATAACATTGTAATAACCAATTTCAAGTTCATGAAGTCTTCTGTGATTACAGTTAGATCAAATCAGTAGTTCACTAAAACCACTTTGGGAATACCTGTCAGGATTAGATTTTGACCTGGATTATGAGATTGCAAAGCAAACATATTTGAGCAAGGCACTATTCAGAATCTCTCATTAAGTTTAGTGGGGCCATTTTTATCTGTTTAAGATTAATTGACTCAGATCTTTGTGTAGCCAGTAGAGAAACAGAGATCATTTAATTTTAAAGCAAGCAGGGCAAATTGTCAGTTGGATTTGTTACTATCTCTAAAGCTTGCAGAGGGACCTTGAACTGAAGGATTTGCTTGAGTTACTGAAATTTTATGGGGTGTGTATGGCTGACTTGTGAAGCCTGTACACACATGTCCTGAGAAGGATGGCTTTTCTGTGTTAGATCAGAGAAAAAAAAAAAAAAGATTCCAAATACAAGATGGCAAAATTTGTTCATGCAGTGTAAGTAAGATCCATTCTTAACTTCTTCTCTGAATGAAAAATTAAAGTTCTGGCTCTAACAACCCCAACCCTGTATAATCACCTTCAATGCGGTTGCCCAGTCTTTCTAGTTATCTCCGTTTTGGCAGTCTGATATATTTTCTGTGGTCAAAGATGGTGTAATAGAAGACCTAGTCTGCATGTCTTGCAGCTATTTCAGGTACCCTGCTGTGTGAAAGCTTAATGCTTCCACAAAAGCTCCATCTTACTTCTTGGCAGTCCCTTCTTAGGGAGCAGTTTTATTCATGACTCCCTGGGAGCCTTAGCTGATACCAGGAATTTGGTTTAAAAGGAGAATCCCTGCTGGAACCATCACATCAAAACTTTAGTCTAGAACCGTAGTAAAGAACTTCAATACCCCACCACTGGGCTGACTTTTCAATTATTCCTTAATTTTATAATTAGCTTTGCCTGTGATTAAGGTGTGGAAAAGGTGAAAACATGTGGCCAATATCCATCATCTTGCTTCCTTGTCATACTGTAAATATTTCAGTTCCTGCTTAGAAGAAGGCTAACCAGGTTGACTATCACGCAGCAAGAAGACCATGAGTATCATTGCATAAGATTGACAATGCACTTCAAAGCAATATTTTTCCATTATTCAAGAGGAGGTTTTGGGGGTTTTTTTTACACTTTTGTAACTTTTTACACGTTGTATCTTGGTTAATATGAATACCATTTCTTTTGATTTGGTCTGTGTCTTACATTGCATTGAAAGAAGTGCCTGAAGAAGTATCTGGAGTTAGGAGAAAAAAATAAAGATAAAAAAAAAAAAAAAAAATGCAAGATCTTCAGACAGCCAAAATAATGCTCTGTGGTAGCAATTACTGGGAGGTTTACACCTTAACAGCTTTACTGAGAAATGGTTTGCAAACAGGCACAGAAGAGTTGCCTTCCTTCTTCATTAAAGAAAAATTAATTAAAGCTGCTGTATAAAAAGTGAAACCACAATAAAACCCTCTTAGAAAAATATTAAAAATGGGTTATGATTCTGGTTCTACTCAACAAATCCTGAAAAAGTGTGTTAACCTCCTAGAATTACTGTGGATAAATTTGGGACCATATTTTGCTTCATCTATTAAAAAAAAAATACAATATTTGTGAGATTTTAACTCAGTATAGGAACAGTTGCTTTTATCTTTTATCACATGACAGTGTTGCTTGTACTTTGGCATCTTAATAGTTTTGGCTGTAAAATATCACTTTAGCTGCTGTTAGAGAACACAAGTGATTTTAAGAAAAGAGGAGGAGCTAGGATTTTCATTGTGTTGCAGTTCACTGACATGACCAATATGTTTGATAAAGGGTCGAGGAGGAATATGTGGTCCATGGATCCCAGATGATGGCCAGATATTTACTCACACTTTGTCTACAGCTGGCAAAATGAGCCAAAGAAACTGGACGGCCAAGGTAAGGTACATTTATTGCATACAGGATTTCATATGTTTTGCTCTTTTCACAGCTTGCTAGTAGTTTAGTGCTGTTCGTGTACTTGTTCCCAGATTCATTATTTGTCAGTGTTATATCTGTACGTGATGTATGTGGCTGAATAGTATCAATTGGCGAATGACTTGGATGTAATAGCTTTATAGACTACTACTCTTTAGGTAGTTAGTAGAAGTAATGGGGATGGGAGGGAAAGTAATAGCCTAGTCTGTCCATTTAAGGCCTACACTAACAATATATTGTATTACTAACTGGACTGTGTTGCAGGTTAATATGGTCATTAGGGGGCTTCTACCCAATAGAAGCAATGAGGAAGTGAATAATGGCAGTGTGCATAGACTGATAGACCTGCTTGCTTAAAAGAGTACATACCAGCAGGGGAATCAGACATGCCTTTCCCACAGGAGTTGTCTCTCCTGCTTCTGTTTGTCTTGTTAGTCAAGAGTACCTCTCTTACCTGATTCTGACAAAAAAAAATGCACATATTATCATAGAATCACAGAATGGTTTGGATTGGAAGGGACCTCAAAGATCATCTAGTTAGGCAGGGACACCTTGCACTAGATAAGATTGCTCAAAGCCCCGTCCAATCTGGACTTGGACACTTCCAGGGATGGGGCAGCCACAGCTTCTTTCACAAGTCACCACAAATGGATAATTGTTATAATAGCCTACTGTATGCAAGTGGTTTTGATGCTTGATGCTTTTTCACTTGTTTGGCAGGTTGTTTTAGTTCACCTGGGTGTGACTTCTCTTATTGCACACATCAGAGTTGGGAGAATGCAAGTTGCTCTGGAAGCGAAAACCACAGTCCTTCCTGCAGTAGGTATGATATAAAATGAAGGTGTGAGGGAGTTGCTTACTGGCTGCAAATATCAATGTTTTTATCATTCATGTGTGGTTACCAGGAGCAAAAGAGACTCCTAGCACATACCCCACCGTTGAAACTACACATAAGTCTTCCTAAAATTTTTCTTCACATAGCAATGAACATCTGAAAAAGTGAGCTTCTAACCTGTGTATGAATCCAGAACAGTAGGAAACCAATCTTGTCAAATAAGTCAAGTCAAATACCATGACCAGCGGCTTCAAGTACTACAAGGCTCATCTACAGTTGATGGGGATGTGAAAATATTCTTCCAGCTAGTATGTTGTGAGGATCTGGACACTTTTCATCTGAAGGGTAGCAGACTAGCCTTAAGCATATTGCAAAGATAGAAACCTATCTTGGTTCCCTTGTTCACGATAAAATTCAGTTGTTCCCAAAGGCATGTCTGTCTTTCACTTTAGTTTAGCTGTATGCAGGGAAGCAGAAGTAACCATAACAACTCTCTTAGTAATGTAAAAATTAAAAAGTGGACTCTATTTAATAAATTAAACACGCAACCTCAAGAAAAATACTGGCTAAAATAGGAATGTCATCAGAGTACTCTTACTGGCTACCCTTCTGTAAGGTTGAGAGTATATTTCCTGATGTTATGGAAAAAAAAGAAACCAAAGTGACTGCAATGTGGATGGAAGCATTTAGCTATGAAATTTACTATTCATTTCAAGACAGTTGAAGCTGAGTTTTCCAGGAAACTTGTAATCTACCAGAAAAGAAATTTTAAAAATGCAGCTCTAACCTTGAGGCAGAAAGTGATTTCTGTACCTATTCTGGTATTCAACTGGAATTAAATGGACAGAGGCAAAATTATTGCTGAGCAGTTGATTTTGCTTTGTTGAGGCTTTTTTTTTTAAAAAAAAAAAAGATTACCTAGTGACAGAGTAATACTTTTGGCTTCTCAGAAAGCTGAAGTACAGCATGATACTAGTTTTGTCATAAAGGTGAAATTGAAACACCATTCAGAGAGAAGGAGAAGGAGTTTTGTTCTTTAGGGCTTTTGCTTTAAATCACATGTGATACTGCTGATAATTTTCATAAGACCTTGGAGAAAAATAAATCCTTGAAGTATGGGTTGTAAGGTTTCATTCTGCAGTACTCTGTCATCTGCTGCTGCTGAGGAAGGGTCACTGGCTCCAGGGGATCTCAAGGGCTGGACTAAGTACAGAGAATATGAAAGACAATGCCTGACTTGAGGAACTTAAAGTCTCAGAGAAAAAAGATGGGCAATGAGAAACAGAGTAGTGATAAAGTGATCTACATACAAAAAATGTCATTATTAATCTGTTCATAGTGATCCTGTATCACTTTTAAAATTCACATTACTCTTTTAGCTGCTAGGGTGCTGTCTCTGGCTTCTTCAAAATTTAATCTTTCCAGTAGTCTGAGAGTTCCCAGCTCAAGAGCCATGTATTTTAGTTTGAATACAATATCATGGATGGATAAAACTGCCTTGAATATTCTGATATGTGTTTCCTTTTCTAATCAGTCTGTGGAGATGACTTTTGTGAAGAAAAAGAAGAAGGATGCTCTATCTGCCCAGTAGACTGTGGGGAATGCCCACTGTCTGCTGATGCTAGGATAGCAATTGCCTTACCAACATGTTTAATCTTCACAGGCTTCATTTTCACAATCATGGTAAGTATTCTTTCTCTTCTCTCCTATTTCCTTTTAATTCTATTATTTGGTTAGAGTGATGTTCCCTCTTTGTGGAGGGGTAGAATTTCTTCTGCATCCAGAAGCTGTAGGCTATGGAAGAAAGCAGGAGGAAAGGAAACAATGTTTTTGGCTTCTTTATGAGAGGAGGCTCATTCCATGGGCTAGGCATTTTCATCCTGTGAGAAAGAAGACTGAAGAATGTAGCAGTGGAATGGATATGTAATGGAAAAAGAGGAAGAAGTTTTTCACCACATTAGAACTAAGGAGTGCTTGTAAAGTAAGAGTACTTTTCACTCAGAATAAAACTCTGTTATGAAATCAGCTGTTTCAAACCCCTATGGAAGTCAGGAGTATAAATGAATTCAAATACAAATTAGGTAAATTCATGAAGGGATTAACTCCACCAGGGGCCATTAAACTCAGAGTCCAAATGCAATTTATAATGGAAAACATTTGACTTGGGTTATTCTCAAAAGAAATAAAGGTAGGAATGAAATAATAATTTGGAGTAGGTGGGTGGTCTTAGTGTAACTGAACCAATTCGATTCATTTTGCATAGTAGTTGTCAATTATAACAGACTCATTAAGAGGGTAAAAAAGGGGATAATGACAGGGGAGTGTATGAACATGGGAGAAGTAGTTTTGGATTTCTTTGACTGAAAATGTCTGTATAATGAGGATACAGCATAGTATTGTGGCATATTACTTCACAGGGCTTCTGGGAAAGAGGATCCACATTCCTTAAGTGTCTTCATCTTTTTGAAAAGTACATTTCTGAATTTCATAACAGGGATTCTATAATTTAGCAGATAGGTATGGCAGTTGTAAAGGCATTATATTGACTTTGTAAATAACAGATAATTTATTTGGGGTTTGGCTTAAGAGTCCTGTAAATTGATAGGCTCCTATTTCCTCAGGGATTCCTTCTCTTTCCATCTTTATTGCAGGTTCAATAAGTACCTGAATTAGGAAAGTATGCTGAGAGGGAATGAGCAGGAGAAGGTTGCAGCATTAGAAACTGACTGGATGGCTAAACCCAAACAATGGTGGTAAATGGTACCACATCTAGTTGGTGACAATGACTAGTCACTAGCGGTGTCCTTCAGGGCGTGGTTAGGGACAGTAAGATAGGATCATAGAATTATAGAATAGTTAGGGTTGAAAGGAACTTAAGAACATCAAGTTCCAACGCCCCTGCCGTGAACAGGAACTCCTTTCACTAAACCATGCCACCCAAGGCTCTGTCCAACATGGCCTTGAACACTCCTAGGAATGGAGCATTCACAACTTCCCTGGGCAACCCATTCCAGTGCCTCACTACCCTTACAGTAAAGAACTTCTTCCTTATATCCAGTCTAAACTTCCCTGTTTAAGTTTTAACCCATTATCCCTTGTCCTATCACTACACTCCCTCATGAAGGGTCCCTCCTCAGCATCCTTGTTGGCCCCCTTCAGATGCTGGAAGGCTGCTATGAGGTCTCCATGCAGCCTTCTCTTCTCCAGGCTGAACAGACCCAACTTTCTCAGACTGTCTTCATACAGAAGGTGCTCCAGTCCCCGATAATCCTTGTGGCCCTCCTCTGGAGTTGTTCCAACACAATACTCCAAATGAGCTCTCACGAGAGCAGAGTAGAGGGGCAGGATCACCTCCTTCGACCTGCTGGTCACGCTCCTTTTGATGCGGCCCAGGATATGGTTCACTTTCTGGGCTGCAAGCACACACTGAAGCTGGCTCATGTTCATTTTCTCATCGACCAGCACCCCCAAGGCCGTCTCCACAGGGCTGCTCTGAATCTCTTCTCTGCCCAACCTGTAGCTGTGCCTGGGATTGCTCCGACCCAGGCGTAGGACCTTGCACTTGGCATGGTTAAACTTCTTAAGGTTGGCATCAGCCCACCTCACAAGTATGTCAAGGTCCCTCTGGATGGCATTCCTTCCTTCCAGCATCTCAACCGAACCACACAGCTTGGTGTCATCAGCAAACTTGCTGAGGGCGCACTCAATCCCACTGTCCATGTCAGCAACAAAGATGTTGAGCAAGACCAGTCCCAACACAGATTCCTGAGGGACATCACTCGTTACTGGTCTCCAGCTGGACACTGAGCCACTGACCGCAACTCTTTGCATGTGGCCATCCAGCCAGTTCTTTATCCACTGAGTGTTCCACCTATCAAATTGATGTCTCTCCAATTTAGAGACAAGGATGTAGTGTGGGACAGTGTCAAATGCTTTGCGCAAGTCCAGGTAGATGACATCAGCTGCTCTACCCTTGCCCATCAGTTCCATAGCCCCATCATAGAAGGCTACGAAATTGTTCAGGCAGGATTTCCCCTTAGTGAAGCCATGCTGGCTGTCACCAAGCACCTTGTTGTTTTTCATGTGCCTTAGCATGCCTTCCAGGAGAATCTGCTCCAAGATTTTGCCAGACACAGATGTGAGACTGACAGTTCCGTGGGTCATCCATTTTCCCCTTCTTGAAAATGGGGGTTATGTTTCCCTTTTTCCAGTCGTCAGGAACTTTACCTGACTGCCATGATTTTTCAAATATGATGGCCAGCGGCTTAGCAACTTCATTTGTCAGCTCCTTCAGGACCTGAGGATGGATTTCATCAGGACCCATGGACTTGTGCACATTTAGGTTCTTAAGATGGTCTCGAACCAGATCCTCTCCTACAGTGGGCCCAAGGTCTTCATTCTCACAGTCCAGGGAGGTTGCGAATGCTTCATCCCTGGCAGCGTTCAAGGCCAGGTTGGACGAGGCCTTGGGTAATATGGTTTAGAGCAAGGTGTCCCTGCCCATGACAGGGGGGTTGGAACTTGATGATCTTAAGGTCCTTTCCAACCCTAACTATTCTATGATTCTATGATTCTATGTCTGCTTTCCAAGACTTGGGTGGTGTGGTTAGAGCATTTGCCAGTGAAGACTGAGGCAAAGAAGTCATTCAGAACCTCAGCCTTCCCCAGATCCAGGGTAGCCAGTCCTCCTGATAATTTAAGGGGAGGGCCCACATTGTCCTTCACCTCTCTTTTATTCGTAATGTACCTACAGAATCCCTTCCTGTTAGCTTTCAAATCCCTAGCCAAGTTTAATTCTAACTGGGCCTTATCTTTCCTAACCTGGTCCCTAGCTTCCCGGACAACATCCCTGTGTTCTTGCCAGCCCACCTATCCTTGCTTCCATCTGTTATAAGCCTCTTTTTTCCTTTGAAGTTTCCTCAGCAGTTCCTCATCCATCCAAGGAGGTCTCTCCTGGCCCTCCTGCTGCACTTCCTTCTAGCTGGGACACAGCACTCCTGAGGTTATAGCAGGTGATCCTTGAATATCAACCAACAGTCTTGGGACACCTGCCCTCTAGGGCTATATCCCACGGAACCTTACTAAGCAGGTTCCTGAAGAGGCCAAAGTCTGCTCTGCTGAAGTCCACAGCATGAGCTTGCTGCTCGCTCTTCTCACTGTCCTGAGGATCTCAAATTCAACCATATTGTGATAGCTGCAACCAAGGCTGCCCTGGAGCGTCACATTTCCAACAAGCCCTTCCCTGTTGGTGAGCACAAGCTCAAGCATGGCACTTCTCCCTTTCGGCTCCTCTATTACTTGCAGAAGGAAGTTGTCTTCAACACAATCGAGGAACCTCCTGGACTGATTGTGCCATGCCGTACCATCATTCCAACAGATGTCAGGGTGGTTGAAGTCCCCCATGAGAACAAGGGCCTGTGAGGCTGAGGCTGTTCCTATCTGTCTGTAGAGTGCTTCATCTTCATTGATGATTAGGACGAGGGGATTTTGTGCACCCTCAGTTGCCGATGACACCAAGTGGTGTTGGAGTTGGCTGGGAGTGTTAATCAGCTGAATGTTAGGAAGACTCTGCAGAGGGATCTGGAGAGGCTGTATTGATGGGCTGTGGTCAGTGGTATGAGGTTAAATAAGGCAAAGAGCCAGGTCCTGCACTTGGTCCACAATAACCCCATGCAACGCTACAGGCTAGGGGAAGAGTGGCTGGAAAGCTGCTTGGTGGAAAAGGACCTGGGGGTGCTGAGTGAGCACATGAGAACATAAACCAAATTATGCCCAGGCAGTCAAGAAGGCCAGTGGCATCCTGGCCTATATCAGCAATAGCATGACTAGCAGCACCAGGGAAGTGGTCATCCCCCTGCACTCAGCACTGGTGAGGTCACGCCTTGAATCCTGTGTTCAACTGTGGGCCCTTCACTACAGGAGAGACTTTGAGGTGCTGGTGCAGGTCCAGAAAAGGGCAACAAAGCTGGTGAAGGGCCTGGAGCACAAGTCTGATGAGGAGCAGCTGAGGGAGCTGGGGTTGTTTAGTCTGGTGAAGAGAAGGCTCACGGAGGACCTTATCACTCTCTACATCTACCTGAAAGGAAGTTGTAGTGATGTGGGGGTCAGATTCTTCTCCCAAATAACAAGTGATAGGACAAGAGAAAGCAGCCTTAAGCTGTGCCAGGGAAGGTTTAGACTGGATATTGAAATTTGGGAAAAGTTGCTTCACAGAGAGGGTGATCAGGCATTGGAACAGGCTTCCCAGAAGAATGGTATAATCGCCATCTCTGGAAGTGTTCAGAAAACATGTAGATCAAGCCCTCAATGATACGGTTTAGTGGAAGTCTTGACAGTCCTGGGGTAATGGTTGGACTTGGTGATCTTAAAGGTCTTTTACAATCTAGCTGATTCTACGATTCTCTAAGTCTGATGACCCACTGAGTAAGGAGATCTGAATCACAGTTAGGTATTTTTTGTATTCTGTGCCTCTCTGTGTTGCTCTGTAAGTTAGGGACAGAACAGTTGAAAGCTGGTTTAAAATTTATAATCCGCAGGGCAGTTGTGAGAATGTAGTTATAGTCTTTCTCCTGTAAACAGTACAATGTAATAGAAATTGGACAAATGTGAAGTTCAGACACTTATAACCAATTGTCTTTTTAGAAAAAGCAATAGTTTCTTGGCCTTGTGTAGGTTTATCTAATGGTCTTGTGGGAAAAATTACCTATTATTTCTGTTATTTTTCTGGATATTTTTCTTCTTGCATTTCTATATACTTACTCCTGCTAACTTCTGTCATCGCATCCTTGTTTTTTATGCTTTATTTAGATGATAAGTAAACAAGATCCTTTTATCTGGTTCAGTAATTAACATAAAAAAAAAGGTAAATCTGGAAAACTGATGCCTTCTTTAACTGTACAAGTAGAGGAGAGGATTTCTTGTTATCAGTGTCTGTAGCAAGCCTAATTGTCACTTCTAGCTAATATGTCTTGGTTCAGTCATACCCTTGCAAGATAAAATGTAGATATCATTCTCAGAAACTTTTGAAATTGATGGGAAGACTTAATTTGATTCAGTGGGCTCTATATTTGTCATAAATTTCTACCAAAATGTTGACACAATCTGCACACTATGTTCCTTTCAAATTATCTGGGCTGTTGTTACCTGTTCCAATGAATACCCTTATGTTAAATTCCACACTATAGTAAGTTGTATAATAATGGTAAAATGCTGCTGTGGTTTGACATTTTGGCATTGACTGCAGCAATAACAACTGAATAATTTAATCTGCTGTTCCTCTTTTGAAAGCTTGTGTTTACACTTCCTCTGTTAGTTTCTCATGTCAGCTCTACAGAAAATCTACTATGATACCAATAACTTCTTAGCAAAGTGCCCAGAAGTTTCCTGCCTAATACTCTTTATGCTAAGAGTATCTGACATAATATGACCTCATCTGTGGATCGGGGACTAATTCTGTTGCAGGACATAAGTTGCACTGCTTCTTAACTTGGGATTGGGAGGTCATGTGTTCTTGTCATGTGCTTATATGACATAGGATATTTCCATGCCATGAAGCGATGTAAATCTCTCATCTGATGTCCAGGATGAGATGTAAATTCATAAGAAATATTTGACAGTAAGTGAGAGTTTTCAACCAATGCAAAATATGACAAGTAATTAGATTCTAGAATACAGACTGTACAGCTTTTGAGATATTTATTTGATACTCTTCTAAGCCTGTTCTTGGTTCTAATATTACTCCTAAGATATATGTTGGATGCTTAAACATAAGATTTTGTTTGCATACTTATAAGCTTTCATATGTAATAAAAATTTCACTGGTTTAATTCCTTCAAAGACAGTAGGGCTACACCAGGAATTAACTTGATTTATTTTTGTAGTGGTTTCAATATCAGAAACAAAAGATGTTTTGGGATGAAAGCTGGATTATAGACTTCACCTGCATCAAACAAGGTTAGTAACTTGTCACTTGATACTATGATCAGTTTCCTAAATAATTTTGAGAAATTATCTCAATCACAATTACATGTTTTAGGGATCTTACAAAAGTGAACCAATTTGTGAAAAACATATCCAAAGTTTCATCCCTGTAACCTCTGTGGACTAATGACTGAAGTTTTTGTTTATTGGAACTTTAGATGTCAAAGTAATTTGAAATGGTTTCCTTCTTTTTATGGTGATTTGTTAATTAAAAAAAGAGAGGGCTATCCCAAAAAAGATGACTTCTGAACTTGGAAAAAATAAATTACTGTTGCTTCAAAGAATGTATCATTCTGTATAATTGCTCTCACTAAATTCCTCTAGATTTGAACAAATATAATGAAATCTTAATTTCTCTTACTGTTTGCTGTCTACGACAGACTTGCTGCAAAAAGTAATTAATTGTGGCCAGAGTTGTTTTTTTATTTTACAGCTGGATGTAAAATATGTTTTAACTGGTTCTAACTAAACATGTTAAGAATAAATCAGGTGTTATAATGTGTTTTAATATACTACACTTAAAATAGGTATAGATTATTTATTTTGTTGTTCATTGTTCTGGCCTTTGTAAGGAAAACAATGCCTAGACCCTCAAAAAGGGTAAATATAAAGTAGAAATCTGCTGATGTTGATGGATCTGTGCTGATGTACACTTTCTCATTTTCTGTCTCTGTGAGGAATTGCTAGAAAGATGTCTGCTTTGTCTGTCTTATATCCCTGTCTTGGTAGTAGAAGTGTCAAGGTACACTTGTGTTAACATATGGGAGGGATACTTTCAGCCTTGGACTTGAACATTACTTTCTGTGTAGTTTTGATATGATAACCTCATTTCTGTAAAGAACAGATGTTGGCTAGGTATCATGCCCCGGAGTGCTAATTAACAGTAGTGAGTAATGAGGAATGATAATATGATGAGGTCTGGAAACAGTATGTCTTCTCTGGACAGAGCTATTCAGAGATATCCATAGTAGCCTGATAAAGTTATCTACATGGAAACACATGAACAGTGCTGTTCCCAGGGTGTGTACCCTGTACTATGAAAACCTAGCTTTATTATTTTCAAGATAACTCCTTTTTTTTTGGTGCATTGCACACAGACATACACATGTATATACATATATATACATGCACACATATTATCGAAGTTATCTCAGGGATCTCTAATATGTTCCTGGGTGGAATCCTGTAGAATGACGCCAAATGTGAATGCAATTTGGAACTGCATATGGATAATACTATTGTGTGGGAGCACGGCAATCCTGATGCAAGGCAAGATGCTGAGCTTCCTCAGCCACACTTTACTGTATACTGATACCAGGGAGAGTTAAGAGTTTTCAGCAATGCTGAGACTAATTGGCTAAATCTGGATTTTAACTGGAGATGGTGAAATGTTATATAATTAATTAAATTTTGTTTTAAATCCATTTTTTTACCTTAAGATATTCAACAGAGATTAAAAATATATATTGAGATCACTGACTTTTTTCATCTGACTGTATTGTTGCTCTTCTCTGGCTTACCTGTGGTGTTAAAATCACTTCCCACCTCCCTGTACCTTACAGTCTTTTAGAAGCTCCAAATAGACTTGTTAAAATATGGCGCAGGGCTTGCTCTGCTTCCCTGGGTTCTCTCCTCAGCCTCAAAGTAGCAACAAAGACTAGTCGTCCCAAGAGCAGAGAAACAAAACTTGCATCAAATCCTGAGGAGTAATGGGAAAGTTCTGTGGCAATGAATTGCCTCTGGAACTTTTTACTTTTTGGCTTTCTGTCTTAATGTAAACAAGTCTAGCCAAAATGCAAATATTTGCAGAATTCCTTATATTTGTCTGCCTCTGGAGTCTCTACCTTGCCAATAACATGCATCTTTGGGCGATTTTTCTCATCCCACATCCCATTTAGATGGCATAGTACAGACAGCAATGGGAAGCATCATGAGTGCTCCCCAAGTACCCAGTGACTCCAATGCTAGCTGTATCACAGCTCTGAGCTCCTGCACAGCTGCTGCTAACGTGTCCAAGAAACAGTACTTCACCCAGACTGGGAGATAGTAAGTCAATATATTACTCGTTTAATTCACTGCCTACTATACCATAGTTTCACCTTTCTTTCTGGTTCTTGCCACTTTAATGTTACAGAGTAAAAGCTTGCATTTCTCTTGTTAGGTCAAATTCACTAAGTTAATACCATCATCTGACTTCTATACCATACACTGGCTGTGGAATATCTTACATCTAGTCTTCTGTTTTGGTTGTTGTGTCTCTTTTTTTTTTTTTATGCAGCCCTTTTCCTAAAATGTGGGCAGAGCACAGCTAGGTTATTTGCACTAAAAAGTGGCATCCTGTACAGTAGCATATTAAAAATATTGTCCTTAAACAAACTAATATGACTGAAAATACTGAGCATTTCACGTCTGGATCACACTATGTGCACATCATAATAATATATGGCAAAGAGTATAGCCATATTCTGCTATCCAGAAAGCAATTTACCATTTGTATACACAGGGCAGGATCTGTCCTTTGAAGGGTAGAGGAGCTTACTTAGAATCTTCAACTTAGGGGAGCAGCTGCTTTTTCAGTGTAGATCACTGTTCTGGAAAATTACAGCCACTTAATTGATGAGACACTGTGTCTAGCATAGATGCTTATAGATAGTGAGCATTTTTGCTGTTTCTTTCTGAATGATGACATTTTCATCATCATCATCATCTTCCTTGGATGAGTCAAAGTCAATCACATTCATCAAGGGTGAAAGGTGTAAGAATGGGACATCAGTTTCATCAATGAAGCACCTACATCTGCTACACCAGAGCCCCTCTACTATTTGTATGGTGGGTAGCAGTTAAATTCCTGCATATATCTCCACTGGATTCCTTTATTATTCCAAGGAAAGTTGCTTTGCTGTCTACCAAACTTAGCTGATTTATCACTGTGAGTGCTTCATGTGATGAGAACAAAAGGATGTTAAATATCAATGATGGGTCTTCAAAACAGTAGACAGAAGCAACAGATAGAAGGAATTTTCCTGCCTGTGTTTCACTATCTCTGACATTTTCTTTTGCTGCTACTCCGTCATCAAACTGCCTCACCTGACTGTAACAGTCTTACGTTCTAAATGTCATCCACAGATCAAGGATGCTTGAGTATAATAGCTGATGTTTCCCTTACCATAGAAGGAGGACCCTGTCAACTGTCATATACTGAGATTTACACCCATATATGCACATGCTTAAATTCTCTGCCTCATCTCTAGAGATATGAAGCTGCCCACTGTAGAAGAAATATCCAGTCCATTTTCTTAGTCTGTTGGGTTATGAAGTTGGCCTAAAACTCTGTGAACAGCATTTCATTCTGTTTCAGTGATGGTAGAAGAGTGGCCATAAAAAAAATAATGAAGAAGTCATTCACCCTCTCCAAATCCATACGTAAGGAAGTAAAGCAAGTGAGGTAAGAAGTGAAACCTGAGAACTGTATGTTGATCCCTTTTACACTGGTTCTTTAAGGATTACAATCTGTCCAAATGTGACTGTTAATTCATGTTCCTCTTTTTTCAAACTTTGTTTTGACACCTGTTTTACTTTCGTCTCTACCTTGTGAGACAAGGCATTTGGTTTTCCAGTTACCCTACAAAAAGCTGGAGGTATAGCCATGAAAATTACAGGTGTGATTTCTGTTGTTTTTCACAGGGAACTTGACCACCCTAACCTCTGCAAATTCATCGGAGGTTGTATAGAAGTGCCAAATGTTGCCATTGTGACAGAGTACTGCCCCAAAGGCAGCTTGAGTGATGTTCTACTCAATGAAGATGTTCCTTTGAACTGGGGTTTCAGGTACAAAAACACTCCTGAAAAGCTACATGAAACAAACTGTGCTATGTGTAGTTTAGGACAAGACGTTTATTTTAGATAAAGTCCTTGATAGACAGGCTTGCACTGTAACATGGAGAGAATGAAGAAGAAAGAAATGTAATTTAAATATGCATTTCAACTTGTCTTTGGATTTTTGAGCAATCATATCTTTAGTGATGGACATGTTAAGCCAATGACTTTTCAACCGAGTCCAGTTATACTGCAAAACTGCTTTTAAACCTTTTATCTCATGTAGCTTCATTTTGTTCTGAAATATCTTTGGCATTCCCATTTAATTAAAAATCAAGACAGAAAATGAAATGTAAGAAAATAATGTAAGAAACTTAATAAAACATTATTTTTCTTGTAAATACTTGGACTCACTCTCAAGGATACGAAGTTAGTGGGAATTTCTAGAAGAAACTGTCTTAAAAGAGACTAAAGTTCTGTGGACTCAGACAAACTGAGTGGGAGTTAAGGGCTTTCAACAACCCACTGTAAGTGTTTTGGTAAAATGAGCATGGGGACACAAACTGAAAGCTATTACAGTCACAGAGAATCTTCCTGGCAACTTCAGTAGGCTTTAGAGCCATTTAAGTGAAGCCTGATTGGAAATACTATCTCACTGATTTTTGTCTTTCAGGTTTTCTTTTGCTACTGATATTGCACAAGGAATGGCTTATCTTCACCATCACAAAATGTATCATGGACGGCTGAAGTCTAGTAACTGTGTTATAGATGACCGATGGGTTTGTAAAATAACAGGTAAAAAGAAGAAACAAAATTTCAACACTTTCCAGCTAACCTCCTAATGCATATCCATTTCACACTCAGTCCTCCTCCCCAGCACTTCCATGTTGACATTTCATGTGGAAATGCTGACTATGCCAGACTTTACTATAACTCTCTCATCTTGAAGCAACTTTCATGTTATGTTACCATGTCAAGTCATTTATCATGTGTCACTGATGCACAGATCCCAGAAATGAGGGGAGATCCCAGAAATGAGGGAGTCCATCAACAGCAGTCTGACCAGAAATTCTGTCTCATTCTTAGTTTTGACACAGGGAGAAAACCTGAGCCATGGACAGTGCTGTGAACACATGTAATAATCCTGACTGATTGATAAATACAAGACAGGTTCATGGAGAAAAGCAGAATCAACTCAGACCTTTTCAGTCCTGTACACAAAACTGAATTGTATTATCCTAGCAAGAACTACAGGTCTGGGCTGCTCCTGGTAGGGGAAGACAGCTCGTGAGGACAGAAAAACCACTGGAGAGTCTAGTTTAGTTTGCAGCTGCCAAAGGGAATGAAAGCAGTGATCACCTCTTCTACTTCTTTCCCAAAGTAGTTATCACACTGTCTAACCCACAGTCATATCAAAACCAGCAGCAACAGATTTGTCTTTCAATGGTTCATCCTATGACTATGTCTCCTTCACAGGGTCATGCCCGCTTCTCCAACTCATTTAGTATCCTGCTGCCTTCAGAACTGCTTAGAGCCTTTTCTGGAGAAAAGCATAAAGAATTAAGATAGCTGGATTGTATCAACTGCACCACAGTAGCCCAGCTCTTCTGAATTAAGTGGGATCTCTGAAATTGTTCAGAATTTAACTGGTGGCACTGCAGAGATTTCAAATATTCATGGTTTATCTGGATACAATAATGCTAAAGATAGCTGACAAATAACCAATGTGGGAGCTATTTGAAAACCTCCAATAACCTCCAACATAAAGAATAAAGTTCTAGGACCATATTAATTAAAGGTCATTCCAGACAAACCCAGACATCTGCATTGTGCCTTCCCATCCACTCAGCAGAGTGCTGTTTACATCAGAAAGAAAACTGAAGTCAGTTGGCTTTTTCTCCTCTTCAGTGCTTAGTCACATGATGGGAATCTTTTCTATGTTATATTAAAAGTATACCTGCAAAGATATTCCACATTTATGCTGCTTTTGTTTTGAAGCTGATGGTATGCAAGTAAAGCCCACCATCTGATTTTCAATAGTTCTGGTCTGTGTAAACTGTAATTACTCTAACAACCTGCCATCACAGGTAAGGATCAGGGGATAAGTAGGAGAGAAACCTACATTTGCAAGCTAACTCTTACACTGAAATGAGCCTGTTTTCTGAATATAATTTTATAAAATTATAAAATAATTCTAATTGGAAGGAGCCATGTAATTCAACTTGCCTGCTGTCATGTAGTCTAACCCAAATATTTACTTTCCAGATCCTATATTTGCAATTGCATTAAGGGGATGAGACCACCAGACACACCCTATTTTTAGACTAAGATGTGTATTTCAAATAAGGAAAATTAATTCCTTTAGACTAGTTCTGTTACTGCCTACTAATGCATGTGTTTCAGAGAATTACCCACAGAATAGTTTGCTTCCTGTTTTCTTCCATGTTAGATTATGGTTTGCAGTCATACAGAAAAGAAGATTCTCTGGAGGGGTCAAGCTCATACCAGCAGCATTTGACAGAGATTTACACAGCTCCTGAAATCCACTCCCTTTCAGACTATGAACCCAATTCTATGACAGATGTCTACAGGTAGTTAATTTTTGCTCTTTCTCACAATTAATAATCTAACCTCAAATTAAGTATTCTCTAACCACAGTTAGGCTCAGAGTAATTCTGTGGTCACCCTGGTAAATGTTTGGTTGTACATTTAAAAGCATCAATCTTGGAATACAGAACAGAGAAGAGATCGCAGGATCTTCTCTTTCAAGGCAGTTAACCAAATATTGAATTCATTGACATCATATAAATGCAGATTTGGCCTCATAATTTATAAGGAGTTACTCTGGACTGGTAGATTACAAAGGAATAAAAATCTGCTGTTTTCTAGTAATCTGTTTTTGTTGCCATTTCTTATGAAAAAAAACCCAAATTGTTTTCAGTAATGGCAATACTATAAAAAATAGTGTCAATTTTCTAGAATGTCATAATGCACATGCGCATCCCATAATTCTATAATTACTCTCAATACGTTATTTTGCTGCATAGACACAGTGACAATGTTTGGTTTGCACTGAAAGAAAGAGATAGGAAAAAGGAAATAGATACACTAGTGAATAGCTTCATTCCTTTCCTTTTGAAAACCTTTATAGGAGATCACTTTGCAGTGTCTTATTTAGCTATCAGATTTAGCCTTGACAGTGATGGACAGTTTCTATCCAAACACTTTTCAGATAAACAGGATTACAATTGAGTTTTCAGAGAATAATAATCTGATGACAGAGTCATTGAACTAGGTTTTAAAAAAAACCAAACCTATAGTTATTAGTTCTCATGTGATTTTTCTGTGTAAGTAGGAAAACCACTGTGTTCTTGTCGTATTCTATTTCATAACAATTATACTTCCTCTGTCTGCTTATTTCCAGTACTTTGCTAAAAGCAGTTGAAAGGGGAAAATGCAGAATGGTACTACAGGATATTTCTGACCCTTTTTTCTTACTTTTTGTTGCTGCATTCCCAGACCAGGAGAAGTTTTCTATTTCTTGGTGACTTTGGTAGCTAGCAGAATGTAAGGAACTGGAATTCAGTTAGAGACTGAAATGCTGATACAGTGACACAGCTAAGCATAAGGAGGCATGATTATTAGCACTGTTTATCAACAGCATTTACCAAAGGGTAGCTATTATTGCTTTTTATCAAAAAAATGAGTTTTACTGTGGCTTCCCCCCAGGCCACAACAAATTCTTACTGCCTTAAGTGATAGTTACGGGGTTTTCACTGAAGAACTAGTAGCAGAAACAGAGAATATTGTTTAAGTCTTCCCCTTTTTTCAATTAGGATTCATTAAAAATTATGTAAAGACATAATTTTATAAATAAAATTTACTGGATTAATACACGTTATTCCCTTGTAAAGAAATGTATGCTTCTGCAATATGCTTGAACATTAATTGTAGTCCATTCTGTAACATCATGTAAGCAATAATTTGAAGTTTCAAGAGTATTTATATCTATAGGCTTAAACGTGCCTTTAGAATTTTCTTCAAAATAGCTCAGGTAACAGCAGTTTGTCACTGTGTTGACATTTCTGACTGTTGTCATTTGTCCTGTGTCAGTCTTTACTTTTCCAACATTCACTGGTCTGAGGAAGTATTGTGCTCCAACTAAGCAGTAGTTTTAGGATTGCCTTATTAATTGCAGTTTATTGTTGCCCCACAGCCAGCAGACATTCCGTAAAATGTTTCCTCAGTTCTCGTCTGATTTACACATGGCTCCTGTTCAGGTTAGATATCATTACTTGACTGCGGTCAACCTGGCCTCCTAAATCTATTTCTTGCCAAAGCACTCCCCTTAAAATAGTGCTAAGAGCTGGTTTGCTCATATCATGGATGTCTACAATGACCTTTTGATAGATTCAGTGAATGCTTGCTAAATCCATCTTGCTCTCAGTCCCATGTCTGCAAAATCCAGGTCTTCTTTTGTTATACTGCAGTTAATCTTTTCTTGGTGAAAAAAAAGAAGAACAGTAAGAAATGAAAACAAAAGAGAGAAGAGCAACATACAGTCAGGGAAGACAGGAAGAGATGTACTGTGTAGCATTAAAAGGGTCGTGTTCTTAACTGAGCTGTTTTTCAGAACCTGCATTGTAACACAATTGAGGTTTGATGATGTGAGCATATGCTAAGCCTTCTTGATATATGTATGTGAGCTTATGGGCCAGGGAACAGTGTGCCAGTCTTGGAATCCTTGGTTTTTATCTGTGTCCCTTAATATTCCAGCAGGTATGGCCCAAATGAAAAATGAGTAGCAACCGCAGGAGTGTCACTTGTAATTTTGTGTGCTTTTACAGATGAATCACTTGTTTTTAAAGTTCCTCAGGGAATGTGTTGGTCAGATGGGAAAGCTAAAATGGAAATGAGAACAGGAGCATGAAAGCAGCTCCTCTTTAAGCTGAACGGGCTGTTTCCAGTCACAGTTTCTCCTAGATTGGCTCCTCCTGAGTTGCAGTTGTTATGTGAATTACAATATACGCTATGTTAGGACTTTTTTTGAGCAGTGTTGCTAAAGCTGAACAAAATCAGTACTGCTTTTATCAGAGTTACCATAATGTAAGTGCTCTCCTTGAAAATCTGTTTCAGCTTTGCTGTCTCACCAGGATTGCTATTCCTTTCTACTACCGAATAACCCCCAAATTAACACATGAATCTCATCAGATTAATTTCTACAGTATTCAGTGTAGTTCATATGCATTATTTTATTTGCCAGTGGTGGTCCACAAGTGTACAGAAAGATAAATAGACATACCCCATTATACAGGCAGAATTCCTTACCAAACAGATCAACCCTTAGCAAAACAACAGATTGCAAGCAACATAAAAATAAGTGTTATGAAGTAGTGATGCATGCTGAGAGTTAATCATTACATAGTATAAATACACAAAGAGCCAAGAGCATCTTTATCAGGAGGGCTGACTAAAGGAGGTGCTGGCTTCCTAGAAATCACTGTTCTAGATCTCCAGTGTGTTCATTGAGGAAACTGAACACCCAGTTATTCCACTTTTTTCCATTCTTCACCCTTAATGAATGTGTTTGGCCTTGGTTCATCAGAGGAAGAAGATTATGATGAAAATATAATTCAGACAGAACAAGCAAAAATACTTACTGTAAAATAGATACTCTGGACATGCTGTCTCACTGACTATGGAGATTCACCAAAATGCTGAAAAGAAGCTACTCCTCCAGGTGATGATACTGATAAACCTGCTTCTGCTTGTTGACTACAGCACAAATCTATTCTGTATGTTTAATTGGTAGATATTAAGTAAGTCCCTGAGCATAACTCCTATAGATTCTATTAATTCTTCCAGGGAAAATTGCTTTGCTGTCCATCAAATTCAAATGCTTCATCTCTGAGACTCGTAACTGTGAGAGGAAACTGCAATGAAGTGATCATTGACAGATCTCTGAAAACACAGATAGCAACACAGTTGCTAACCTCCCTTTTGGGATACTGGGTGTTCAGTCATAAAAGAGGGAGGAATAAGAAATCATGGAAAGATAAAATCACTGACTCCATTAACTGTTATTTCATGGAGATTTCGGTTTGTTTTTTTATTCTGCAGTTATGCCATCATTTTACTAGAAATTGCCACAAGAAGCGACCCTATGCCAGTAAGTAAAGATGAACTTTGAAGTTTGCTTGACAACTTTAATTTGGGTTCTGCTGAAGATATAAACCAAACTCTGAGTAATTGCACCTTTGATTTATTTTTTGAGCATGTGTGTTCCTTTTGATTTTGTGGGAGTAAGTTCAGTTTCAAAGGGGTATGCAGTCAGGGCTTCCTCATGCATCTACTAATCTTACCTTCAGGACTTTGAAGAAGAGTGTATACAAAAAAATAATGTAACTCCAGAATTGCCTTTTGGTTAGCTATGTGAGGCTTAATGGTGGTTTGGGGGGTTGAAGCAGAAAGGTATGCTGTAACATCCTTTTTCTGCTGTTGTTTCTTCCCTTTTTTTCCATGCACAGACCCTTTCAGTGCAGTCTTACAGTGATAAAAATATGCTAGAAGAGCAAATGAGCTGCTCTCCATGAGCAAAATGTCTACTTTGCACCTGTCTTGTGATCAGTGCAAAATGGCAAACACAAAAAATGCACCTTTAACTTGAAACCAGATGTTGTGGATACATAACCATATTCTGCCTTAAATAATTTAAGAAGAATGTAACAATGAATCATAGAATCATAGAATGGTTTGGGTTGGAAAGGACCTTAAGATCATTGAGTTCCAGCCCTCCTGCCATGGGCAGGGGTGCCTCACACTAGACCATGTCGGCCAAGGCTCTGTCCAGCCCAGCCTTGAACACTGCCAGGGATGGAGCATTCACAACTTTTCTGGGCAACCCATTCCAGCGCCTCACCACCCTAACAGTAAAGAACTTCTTTCGTATGAAGACCAGAATCTGCCATTCTTCTGATAGTTTGTGATAGTACACGAGTGTAGGCCTTGTGGTTTCTCAGAAGTTTCTCAATATCTTGCCAGGTATTCATTTATTTCAGAAGTTGTTTACCCCTTATAAACACTGAGATTAAAGTCTTTCAGCCTTGAAAAAGCTTTTCCACAAAGCCATCCCATTTAGACTGAGTTACATCTTTCTTTTTTTTTCTCTGTATTCCTATGTATAAAAGCTGATCTGAAAGTGACAAGGAAGACATCATAAAAGTAATGATGATCACAGGGATGTTTTCAATGGGTAGTATGAAAAACACACCACTTATTTCAACCCTGCTTAATCCCTTCTTCTTTAGAAAGAAGATGTGCATTCAGGTGAATATTCTTCGTGCCCCCCTTTGGCAGAACTAATTTCAGGAAAGGCTGAGAATTCTTGCCCATGTCCCACAGATTACATAGAGGTGAGTGAGATGGATACAATATTTTGCACAAATGTTCTTTACTGAAGTGAATTTAAGACATGTTCCAGACATCTTATGGCAATATTACCTTTGATGAATGGAAACAACCCAGGAACGAAGTACATCTCAAACAAAGCACAATGAAATGCTTTAATATCCTGTCATTCTAACAAATTGAATATTTCCGTTGTCCCTTCAAATTGTCAGTGTAATAAATGATGGTTTTAATATTAGATCATTGGGGTGTGTGCATTTTAACATTATTTAAATTAATTAGTTCCATACATATTTTATATTAGTAATATCTATTTAGATTACTGGCAAAAGACTTCGAAATAGTGAAGCATGTGTCTCAGACAAAGTATGAGTTTGGTCTGACTCTCATGAAAAAGGACTATGTGTTCAGTAGCCTCAAGCTGTCTAATAAAACAAAGTACACTCCTTCCCAGTTCAGTTAAACCACAAGACTGCAGCATCCTCATTCCAACTTAAGAGCAGTGTAATTCACCTTTGGTGATTTGTAGCACCCAAAATACAACTAATGTTTCATAAGCAGCACTGGATTTTAGTTGGGAGCTAACATTCTTAAGGAGTAGTTGAAATTTTAAGCTTTTGTGCATTCTGTGTACAGACAAGCCCTCTGAAAACAGTATGTGACTTCAACAGCATAATCGCAAAACGAGAAATTAAGCAGTGTTTGGCAGAAGGAATGTAATCATCTAACCCATTATTTCCCGCAGCAGCATTGTCATGAACTAACATCCTTCATTCAGCATAGATCTACAGAACTCCAGGGACCTCAGTATAAACTAGACACATTTCACCAGCTACAGAGTTTCACATGCACAGTTTGCACTGAGAAAATAGTAGTCTTAACTAGAAACACTGCTTGTGTTTAGAATGACAAAGGGCTGTTTGCTTTTCTCACTCTCTTTCTCTGCTGCAGTTAATCAGAAAGTGCAGAAAAAATAATCCAGCACAAAGGCCTACATTTGAACAAGTCAAGAAAATGTTGTGCAAGATGAATCCTAATAAAGTTAGCCCTGTTGACATGATGATGACTCTGGTAAATCTAGTTTCTTAATCCAATCCAATTCAACCTGCTCATTTGCAATAACTTTCACTTCTGTCCCTCAGGTCTGATCTCATACCCCTTGTTTGATAATTCATTTATATCTGATGGGCTGATTGTAGCTGCAGTTCTGCTCGAGAATCAGCTTTCCTTCTCATTCTATTTCTGTCATTTTTTTTCTTAACTTTCTCAGCTTTTGGGTGCTTAATACTTCTGTTTCTTCAGTAAAATGTTTGAGTTTTAATGCACTCACACATAACCATATTTCCCTTTTCCAAGTGGCTTCGTATTGGTCTTACAGTACTGGGGAAACAGAATCCTTGAATGCCACAAACAGCATGCTTATGGATGGATTTTTAACAGAGTGTCTTAAGCACCTCATCATAAAAAGAGTCTTGTCTCCACAGTCTGTTGCATCACACAGAGCAAGGATGCAAAAAACACAGCACAGAAGGATAATTTATGAGACAACATTTTGAGCTTTTGATAAAAGATTGAGACTTCCGTACATTTGGTTTTGGTAACATATTTTAATCCATGTCTGCCTCTTGGTCTCTACATTCAGTTTGACCCCGAATATTTAAACAGATTTTGAAAAGCCTGGAATTTGGCTCTACCCTCTTTCATGTAAGCAACAATCTCAAATCTAGAATCATAAATTTACCCAGGGAGAAATCTGTTCTTTGGATTTGTAAGAAAAAATTATCTATCTCAGACCTGAGCCTTTGCTTATCTGAATGTTTTGAAAGCAGAATCATTCAAATGTTTAAATTTTCTCCACCTAGAACCTGTTTTAGTAAAATTTTATTTTATGTAATTCTCTATGTTATTTAGATGGAGAAATATAGCAAACATCTGGAGATACTGGTTTCTGAGAGAACCCAGGATTTAATGCATGAAAAACAGAAGACTGATCGTCTGTTGTATAGTACGTCATATAGCAAAAATATTGGGTATTCTTAATAATAATCTGATTTTAACTGTTTAATTACAAATGGAAACCCTTTGATAGGTGATTCTTTACTAGATACCATTTAGTTGGCAATGTAGTAGCAGACTTGTTCCTTGCAAAGCTGGAAAGATATTTAGGTGCTTTTGATAATTTCCTCCTGAAGATTAGTGCACTCATCTGAGACCTATGACTCCAGAATCTACAGTAATCTTACTCTGATCTTGCATGGCAGTCCTTTGTTACAGTTATATATGTTGGAAAACTGCTTTTTGGACTCAGGTTACTTTTGATGTTAGTGTATGTTCTGGAATTCTACAAGAAAAAAGACCTAAAGAAACAGTTATAACATCTAGGAGAAAAAAAGGAAAATGCTGTGAAAGCACAAGATAGGAGAAATACATATAAAAAAAAGTCAGATTAAAGATAGTAAACAAACTTAACACAGAAAGAAAACAATAGGAAAGAATTGACAAAGAAAGAGTTAGTAATACCCCAAGTCACACTATTAGATTCTAACCTTATTCTTGCTTGGAAAGTATAGATATTGGTTTGTTTGAACTGAAGTTTATGGCTCATCTGAAAAATATGGACTTCTTATCAGTGAGATTTACTGTGAATTTTCACACTACAGCAGAGCAGATTTTGGTGCTTTCAACTTCAGTATATTTCACATTTACAAACATTGCTTTTATACCTTCAAACAAACGTATTCTGTTTATTGTATGTTTTTATCCACGTCAAAAGAGTAACAATATTTTACTTTCTACAACAGGTATGTTGCCGAAGCAAGTAGCAGATGATCTCAGGCAGGGAAAACATGCACAAGCTCAAAGTTACTTAAGTGCCACCATCTTTTTCAGGTAAACAAAAATGAAAGACAGGATTAGAAATTACTCCTACTGAAGAGACTTCTAGACTCCTAGTAGATGTGAAGCTCCTACCTGAGTACAGAATTTCTGCCTACACTGCCATTTATTGTACTGGTGGCAACATTTAACTCTGCAAATGAGTGTCCTTCAAAATTTTCACATCTCCATTTTTCATTATAATTACTTAAGTGAAAAATGAGATTGCTGTTGGGCTCTAGCACACAGTAACATGTCATTTTATGAGTGTTACACACACATGCATGTATATTTCATAAGACAGGTCTAAGTAAAGGTTCCAGTATTTAGCTGTGTAAAGGAAATGTGTCTATCCTTAGATTCCACATGGATTTACATTCTACGACTTGTTATGTATGCACGAAACAACATATAAATTGCATGTCTTCCCTTGTCATAAATGAACAGCTATAAAACTCTCTTTTTTCAGTGGTACATAACCCAAAATTGAAGACAACTTAGTCCGTCATAGATTAAAGTCTATCTGTAAGAAGTGGTTTCCTGCATTTGTAAGCAAAAAGACTTAGGTCAGTCAGTCCTTTTAAATGGAAGGAGTCTGTTTTCCATTTAAGTACATTTCTGAAGACAAAACTATTCTGTAAGATCCTTAGTGAAAGAGCCACTGAAAAAGATGTAATTCCACTGACAAATTATTACTGTGTGTTTGAGATTACCAATCTGCAATGGTTAAAATAGTTGATAAGTTCTTTTTGTTGTGTTTTAACAGTGACATTGTTGGCTTCACTCAGCTGTCCAGCAGCAGCACACCTTACCAAGTGGTAGATCTCTTGAACAAGCTCTATACCACTTTTGATGAAATCATAGATAACTATGATGTCTATAAGGTGGAGACAATAGGAGATGCCTGTAAGTTCCTTGAGCTGTGGACAATAATGGGGCATGGGTATTTATTTCATCAGAATAGAGACTGATTTGATGTCAAGGTAGAACAGATGAAAGAGATTTGGAAAGTTTATTACCACTGTGAAGACCATACAAAACAGCTGGGGGAGAAGTCCTCACAGACCCCTAACAAACTGCAGGAACATTTTCATGCATACCTTTCATAATTTCTACAATTGATAAATGTTGTGGATGGGACAAATGAGTTGACTAAACAACTTCTGTTTTTTATTTAGTTCCAATGACCTGTAATGTCTGACTTTAAATCTTGGCAACAGATTAATTCCAGTTGGCAACTTATGTTTCACAGTATCACAACTGAAAAATTCACTTTCTACATGGGACCATAGATGCCATTCCATAAGCTTTATGACAAAGACCATGACAACTTTCTCTTTCTTAATATTCTGTAGGGGCTTGGCTGCCTGTTCTGTTTGGACTTTTAAGAAGATTTCTTTCTATTTGCTACCATGGGAATCTGCTGGGTATTGACTACCATTAAAACTAAGTTTAATCAAAAACCTAGCAGAGTCTAGAAGTTTTTGGATGAGACAGGCAAGAAATCCTACAAGAGATGTGAAAAGAAAAAAAAAAACCACCCAGTTTTTGTTGGGTTTTGTGGTTGGTTTTTTTTTTTTTTTTTGTTTGGTTTTTTTTGGGTTTTTTTTTTTTTTTTTTCCTGTGGTAAGGTTGAACGTTTTCTGGAGCGTAAAATTCCTGAAAAAAATGCACCCAAGGGATTCTGAAGTTATCTATTTCTTGTTCTACACAGTAAAAGTCAGTGCAGGAAGCACAGGAAAATGCTTAGTGGGAATTATTTTCTCCCTTTATAATATCTGTCCAAAGACAAAAGGTGTTGAGCAGTCACTTCCCACTACCTGTCCCACTTCAAGCACCCTCAATGGAGCGAGGGAGAAAGAAATGATAGAAGGGAATAAATCTTATGTAAGTTCCTTAAGTATGAAGGAAATCCTACATTCTTCAGAGCTAGTGTAGAATCATAGAACCGTAGAATCAACTAGGTTGGAAAAGGCCTTTAAGGGCAAGTTCAACCGTTACCCCAGGACTGCCAGGTCCACCACTAAACCAGGTCACTGAGGGCCTCCTCTAAACAGATTTGAACACTTCCAGGGACAGTGATGCCACTGCTTCCCTGGAAAGCCTGTTCCAAACTCTGATCACCCTCTTGGTGAAGAAACTTTTCCTAGCATCCAGTCTAGGATGGCACAGCTTGAGGCCATTGCTTCTTGTCCTATCACTTGTTACATGGGAGAAGAGACCAGGAGCTTCTTCACTTCATCCTCCTTTAAGGTAGTTGTAGAAAGTGATAAGGTGCCTGCTGAGCCTTCTCTTCTCCAGACTAAACAACCCAGTTCCCTCAGCCATTTGTCATAATTAATTACACATGTGAGCTGTTGCCCCCTCCTTCATTTGGTTCTGGCTTTCTCAGCAGGCAAAACTTTGCCACAGCATATGAGGGAAAAGGACTTTATTTTTTCTAGCTTAGGCAGCATCTTTTGGTAAATCTGTGTGTAATGCCAAACGTTAATACAGTTGCATTGTTGTATTAAGATATGGTGGTATCAGGAGTACCCAAAGAGAATGGGATCCTTCATGCTGGTGAGATCGCAAGCATGGCTTTAGACCTTCTGGATGTCTGCAAGACTTTTAAGATTCCGCACAAGCCTAACACCCTCCTAAAGATAAGAGCAGGAATCCATTCAGGTATGTTGAGAGGGCTGCAAGAGTCCTTCTCTGGTTTAACAAATGTTTCTGGAGTGGCATTTCCTCTCCATTAAAAATTAAGTTAATTTCATGGCAGGGGACGGAACTCCTCACAGTAGTTTATTCTAACAGAATTTGTTCCAACAGAATAAATTACTGGATAACTCAAATGTTGGCAACACAACACAAAATACAGCATTGGAAACATGACATGGCCCCAGTGCCTTTGTTGATTTCAGTGAGGACTTCCATTCTGAGTCTGTTAATTGTCCTTTTCAACTGTTCTCTCAGAACTTTGAGCTGCTTCTTAGCTTTTTGATCTATTCTTCACTCACTCAGCTCCCTGATCTAAGCTGATGTGTGATTGCAAATCCTTGATAGACAGTCAGAGCTGGGTGTGTGCTGTGCAGCACAGCATCTGCAAATTGAGTGGCTTACATTGTTTCAGCAGGAGATCGTATCTACATTTAAAAGTCCCTGTGGATGACACGAAGGAATCAAAATGCTCATTTTCTGCCATTATCATCAGCAGATTACTTCCTGTTCTTGCTCTTCTATGTGATTAGTAAGCATTGTGTACACAGCTGCTATTGGCAGCATTCTTATCTCACTGCCCCTCAAAATATCCTGTTGTCATGTTGAAACATGGATCTGAAGGTTGCTTAATTCATGCACACTACCTACATCCCATCATCACTTTCTCCACCATCCTCTTTTGAGGCCCTTTTGCAATTTCCCCCATGGGAGCCTTCTAAAATCAGAGGTATAACTCATAGAAGACAATTCTGACATTTTTATCTTGTTAATGAATGAGATATAAACTAATGTGGGATGCAGCCATGATACTTTATGACTGATTATGTGACTTATAGCAGCAAATGTCTTGCCTTTTTTTTTTTTTGTTTGTTTGTTTAACAGGGGCAGTTGTAGCTGGAGTTGTTGGGACCAAAATGCCACGGTATTGTTTATTTGGAGATACTGTGAACACAGCTTCCAGGATGGAATCTACCAGTGAAGGTAATGATGAGCAAACTGCAGGTGTGGTTTTGACTATCCCTAAATGAGTTATGGAAAAATGTTATTCTGAGTTTTGATTCCTGTGCTGTTTAAATGACTGCAAATCCTGTAAGGAGGGTGTTGATTTCTGGTCAAGTCTGCCTATTAGAAAATTATGCCAGTGATATTCTCTACAGCCTTTGTAAAAAGATCCCCTCATTCCCCAAATCTCAAAAAGGGATTTTCATGTCTTGAAGTATTCTAAAAACAAACAAACAAACAAAAAAACAAAAAAAACCCCAAAAAACCCCCAAACAAACAAACAAAAAAACCCCGTGAGCCTCAAATAAAATGAGAAGTGGGGCTGTTCACTGTTTCTATTCCTCCTTGGAATCCAGCTGAATTTATTAATATTTTTTTATATTAATATTTTTTTTTGTGACTCCTCCTTTTCACTGATAATTTCCTCTAATGGAGAACATAAGAGATGGTAGGACACCATGGGAGCTGTAGCTGTCTTCAAGCAGTATAGAGAATCATATATGTGTCCGCCAGCAAAGTGATTAGACAGAAATCTCTAGAGATTAAACTGTGGAGATATCCTCACTTTCACCTTTTCCTAGGAGATAACAGAGCTCCATGTTCAGTTAGCAAGCTTCATCTTTAGCCATCTCCTCCTCCTTTCAAGCCCCTTGTATCATCTCATCTGAACTGGTTTAAAACTAATGCATTCAAAATCTGCTACTATCATTCTCCATATTTCATCTTTTGTTCTATATGCCAATCTATTTCTCATATGGTGCATCAACACTATAAACATAAGTATAAAGGCAGAGCTTTTTCTCTTTTAAGCCTTTGTCTTCTTTCTCTAGCCATGCACATCTGAGGATCTCAAATTGCATTAACGTGTTTTAACTATAAGATGGTAACTTTAAAATAAATAATTACTAGCAATGTAAGTTAAATTGCTGCCAGCTGGAATCTGAGTGCTAGTGTCTTGGTCCCAAGCAGCATGACCAATTAAAAGATCACACACCTACTGGAAAGAATATTTCAGAAGTATGTATCTGGCTATATTGAAACTTGTGATATTTTTAAAACAAAGAAACATAATGATTTACTCTGTGTCACAGAATGTTATAGGCAAAAAAGCCCCAAGTGGTTACATATGGTTTTCTTTGCAAGATGAAAACTCCAGCCAGGCAGCTGTGAAAAGTAGACAAATAATATTAGATGCAGGATGTAAAGAATAGTATTTGTTGACAGCTGTGTATTTGTCCTGAGATGCTCTCACAAATAGGCCAGGATACTTGTGTGTGAACATTTCAAATAACAGCAAGGACAGCAAACACATAACAAAAGCAAGGGGGAGTTCATTAATGGAGTCTTGAAGCCTTTGGCACACGGAGGGGGCTAGGCCTGTCTCAGATTTTTAAACTGTTGCAATAATATGACAACTGTCTCTCTTTCCAGCTCTTAAAATACAGTGCAGTTCAAGCACATACCAGCTGTTGGAGCAGATTGGAGAGTATGTGTTAGTATGTCGTGGAAATTTACAAGTCAAGGTGTGTATGCAACATTTATATTCAGCTTTTCAGAGAGGAGAGTGTGAAAAGTACTCTGGAGTCCCTGAATTTTAACCCATGCAGTCTTCTATGTCTCAGAGCCCTTGGGTTAGACTATTTCCTATCCCTGAAGAGCAGGCCCAAGTTTTATATCAGGACTAATTTTATTGGCTTTTTTCATGGTATAACCCTGATAATTCAGAGCTGAAGTACGCAGCCAAACTTGGAACTACTGTGTGGCAAGTCACTTTGTCATAACTGTTTGAAATCTTCATAAGAGTTTCATAATAGGATGACCATCCTTCTGGACCCAGTTTTGGATGGGACTTCGAAGAACTGTTTTAGTTGGTAGTGCTGCTACTGTCAACTCAGTTTCATGTGTCAGTTTTCCTGTATGTAAAATGGCTAACAGGCACATCAGCCTCTTTTGGAGACTTTATGTGAATTGTAATAAGATTATTACATAGATGACGGGTAATATTATAACCCCATGACTCATTTTCTTCCTTAGGGGAAAGGAGACATGGTAACATACTGGCTGGAAGGTAAGAAAGCCTCTGCCACCCGGAAGGCAGTCACCAGCACGTCTGTGACTCGTCAGGACCCCAACAGAGCTTTGCTTAGTTTGATACCAGGTGTCCTTCCCAGCGATCCTCTCTCAAGTCCTGCTTACTAGCCACTCTCTAACCCCAGCATCCACCCTGCTTTCAGTCTGTTAGGTCACTTTTTTAGAAAGTAAGGAAAGAGATAGATGCCTCTTTGGCCTTGTGGGTATATTAGCTCAGATTTTATTCGCAGGTATCTTTTTTCCACCAGTGGCAGGAAAAATACAAAAAAGCAAAAACTTATCTCAAGGAATGATACATAAGAATGGTTCACCAGCTGCTAGGGCAGAAAGTAGCTCCCAGTGTTACTTGGTATGGTTTTGCTGGGTAATCCCCTGACAGCAGCCTCCATCACTTCAAAACTAGCTGGCTGGACATTCCAGCCTGTAAAGTGCTCCCACAGGAAAGAAGGAATTATTGCTATTTAGTGACATGAGAAACTTTGTGATTGTGATTGGTTTTGCGCTGTGAATGGGAAAAATGAGATGTGTATTGTGTGAGAAAGCAAGGCCCATTGGAAGAGGAGGATGAAGCAGTGCAGTCATAGTGGGTACAAATTGGAACAGGAATTTGTGCTCCTGTGTCTGTTTCATGTCCATTGCCTGGAGCATAGAAAGAACAACGAAGAAGAAAGTCAGGTATTTCCATAGAGTCAACACTTAGTAATACCTGCCATCTTGGTACAGAGATCTGAAAATCTTGGGAGAGAAATGAAGGGCATTACATACTGTTAAACAGCAGAGAGTACTTTACAGCTGCTCTTGTCTTTGGCTGCTCTGGAATTTCTCTGAAAAACTGTCTTAATGTTTATTTATATTAAGAAGTTGCTTTTGACTAAAGCAGTGGTGAACCTCCTATTGCTGTCTGTCTGACTGTGAAATCAGGCAGCCCTCTGAGTCACTGCATAATTTAGGACACAGTTTAGGAAAGGTCATTCCTGAGCAAGCATTTCCTGTAGACCTCTCACTACAAGCTGAGTAATCTGTTGATAAGCATGATTCTGTAAGCACTGCTGGTGTTGACTTTCTTTAAAGACAAAGTATGTGTACAATGGACCCTGTTTATACTTTTTAGGTTTTTATTTATCACAACAGATTACCTTTCAAGGCTAATGTGTTTTGAGGAGTTTAGTCAGTTTCAGTTGACCTGATTAACGATCAGTCTGACAGAATCAGATACTTGAGATACAGCAAGAAATTATACCAACAGTCATAGCAGTTCCACTGTATTGTGAGCTGAACTGGTCAAAGCTAACTGGGATGAGGTCTAAAGGAAGGACTAAGAGAGACAAAGCAGCATTTACTCCTCCTTATTCTGCTTCCTTACCCTTCATCCTGTCCCTGATCCTAAGTGCAAGTACAAAACCACAGATGTAGATGCAATTTTTCTGGTATAAATTTATGTAGCTTAAACCAGTAGCTGAATAGTTGTCCATGTTCCCATGTAGCTAGCATACTTTTAATGCTGAATATGTGCTGTGTGATAGTAATAGGAAAATCAAATTACAGTCCTTCAGCTTGTGCTATGGTAACTTTAGGTTTTTCAGAGATAATTAATAGAGGTAGAAAGCTAAATTTTTCTGGATTGTGGAAAGTTTCTTTTAAATCCACAGAAAAATATAGAACATTCTGAGTGAAATTCTTAGTCTGTGGGAATACTGTCACTTGAATGGGACCAGAATCTCAGCAAGGGATTTACACATAGCTGTACCTTTTAACATCAGATCCTAAAATAAAGTCAGTCAGACTTTTTAAAATCGAAAATTTTAAATGGTTTCACATTGTTTTCTAAACTTAAAAGGTTCCTTTCTCTATTTGAATTTCATATTAGTACATGGTACAATACAGCTACAGTACAGCTGTGTTATTTGTAATCTTAGCAAAATAAAACTTTAAGTTATCCAGAGCCCAGAGATGTCCTTTAATACAACCATTTCCTTTACCCAAATGCTGCCCAGATATCACAAAACCCTCTGCTCTATTATAGTGCTGCATGATGTATAATATGGTTTACATTATTCTTTTAATGAGTTAGTATTTTTACATTTTTATTAGAAAGGTGTGTATCATAGGGTCTTTTATGAAGTGTGAATATAAAAGCATGTGCTTTGTTCTATGTTCATCTGTAGCAGTACTTCAGTTTTAACTCTTTTGCTTTATTTTAGTGTTGATTTTAGAATTAAATGCTTTAAAACAGGTGTTTTCTGAGTTTAAAGTCATCTAAATAGCAATGAGTGATAAGTGACCATTAGCAGGCTGATTGATTGGCAGCCTTCACCACTGACATGTCCTTAGGCAGTATTCAAACTTTGCTGAAGATAATAGAGTCTTGCTGACTGCGAGAGGCTTAGAATCTGGTGGTTATCTACAAAACAGGTACATCTTGAAGAACACCAGTGTCAGCCTGCCTCTGTTTTCTTGTTATACCTAGATCCTCTCCTCAGAGCATCACCAGAACGAGAACTAGATGCTTTTCTAAGGACTGTTGAATCTGTGATATCTTTCCTGAGATTTCAAGCAGAAGTCCTTAGGAATGTCAGTTTGTCTGATGGCTGTGATGATACAGCTGTTCTTCCTCCAGAAGACAGAAGTACAAGCTAATGAATGCTGTAGATGCAAACAGAAGTGTCCTCAGTTAACTGGCAAGTATTTAAGATGTATCATCTCAGGCATTTTGTTAGATGTATTCAGCAGCTACAGCTATATTTCATTGTCAGCTACTGAAACCATAGGCGAGTTTCAGGAACATTTATTTGGTTACACAGATTTTTACGAGAAGTTAGAAACAATGTAGCAATCATTAGAGATTATATGACACAGCAAATTCAGCAAAGGTGGTTGCAGCATGAAACTTGTGAGATGTGCTTTGCTTTTACCTCCTGGGGTGGATAGCTGCAGAGGTATTTTTTTCATGTACTGGTGTGGCCACACAGGCATACATATGTATAATAATGTATCCATATAATATATATATTTGAGAGAATTAGATATTCTTATATGTGTAAAATATGTCCGGCTATAAATAAAACTGTATAAGGAGAGGTTAATGCAAATCAGTATCTGGTATAAGGACATGAAGTTGTTGACAATCATCACCTCAGGTTTGTACTCTGCAAGCATCAGTTTTTGAACACACCAAGGGAACACAGTGGTGCTCTGCAGACAACTTCATACACAAGAGCAGATGGTCTTTATACAAGAGCACCTGCAAAACAAAATGCTGTCCCATTTCACCACTGTATATCTGTATCCTTGTGTGGGGTGGCAATTGCCACTGATGTTACTGCAAATTCAGATCTCCAGGGTCCTGTTATAGCTCTGGTATCTCTAACTGCTCAGGAAATATAGCAAGGAAGCTTATTGTGGCTAACACTGTAGCTGCTGAATAAAGTCCTGGTAACCTTGGCACTGCAGGAAAGCATTTACTGGCTTGTAAAGATGAGGTATAGTAATCAGCACAGTGTTCATCTGTGGGATGCCCAAAATCCAGAAGTTCACATCCTAAATGTGGAGCTGGTCAGGTAATCTAGCAAGTATTCTTTTCTAAAATGGCACTTTATACAGATAAATATTTGATGTGTTCCTCCTTTCCTTCAAAATTATATCCCTACCAGAATATAGGGAAGCAGTTGTAATAACAGAGCTGAAGAACTGAAGGTGGTATGTACTTTATAGTTCAACTCAGTTTTTCCCTCAGTGACCATTCACTGTTTGCAGTCATGCAAAGTAGTGCAGAGGATGCTAATACTGTATTAATGATGAGTGATTTTATTAAAAGATTGTGTATTTTGGTTATTGTTTATTGCAGCTCCATCTGCATACAGGTAGAGATGCAGGCACACTAAATAAATCACACAATGCAAAAACTGACTTAAGAAAATCTTTAATTAGATAGATAAAGTTTCACTATATTGTTTCAGTTTGAATGTTGAGGAATAGATTGAACAACCACAATATTTATAAAAAAGTACCAATAAGTAAAAAAAATGGTTAATGTATTTCCAGGTGTAAAAGTTACTAGGTTCTATTCAGACCATTGGTGCTTTAAAAAGACACTGTTTTGCCACCAAAAAGTTAGTCTTTATCCCCTAGATAGATAGCAAACATCTTTTATTTACCTTGGTATCAATATGTGCAGCGGGTTTCCAGTTCCATGGTTCTTTTTGTGTAAACAGAAAAGTTATTTATTTATTTCTGCAGCTAAACAGTCAAATAAGAAAAAAATATTTTATTTAATTTATCAAAAAAGAAAAAAGCCCTGGTGTTCTTTGCAAACAGTGCAAGGGCATATTATGAGTGTTGAGCCTGACTGTGCAGTCAGAGGACGCAGGGTCTCGTGAAGATCTGTATGTGAAGAAGAGGTTGGTATGAGGTTCCCTAGCATGTAAGACATCTCTCTCTCCCACCCCACTCAGACCCCTAAAAGTTATTAATAGACCTTCTGTCTGAATTGACCTCAACAGTAAGAGCCTTTGATTTCTTAAGAGTGTACTTCTTGTGCTATGTCATGGCAGGCTGTTATAGTGGACCAGTAAAAAGATCAGGCTATGCAAGATTATTCTGATTATTTTCTCTCTGAGTATGATCTGCTTTTCAGATAATGAGTAATCTGTCCTCCTAATTCCTGTCTGAATTTTCCCCTACTTCACACCAGTCAATGTAAAACATTGGATTGTACATTATTACTTTCTAAATTGGAATTCAAATATAAAATTATATGCAATCCAATGTTCTTGCAAAGAAAATAGGGGAAAATTCTCTCTCCTCCCAATTTAAAATTTGCTAAAATGCACCTTCTGATGTTGAGACGTAAACCAACCAGTTTGAAATTTGAGAGAGTGGCTTTTGTAGAATTTGTTGGGAACCCTAGTGACTGAAACCTTCCAATGAGCATGCATGAGTCTAAATGATGCTATTAAAATGAAACACAGTCCTGGGACATCAAAATCTGTGTATCCTCTTGGAAGAATTTTCACTCCTTAAAGAGCCACTGTGGAGTTCTTAGAGAAATTCTCCTAAAGGACGGAAGAATTTTGCAACAATAGGATTGAGGCAGAAAATTTGAGTGGGGTATTGGAAAGACAGAGGGGTCATCTGAACAGATCTCAAACGAATATATGGTGCAGTGTTTGTAAGTAAAAACATTAAGCATGAACACTTCTGTGTGCCTTTCACAATAGCATAGTCAGAGCTAATCCATGCAACTATTCTAAACAGAAGATGAACCATGATTTAAAACACAATGATAGTTGGATCTCCTTGCCTGATAAAGACATACAGGGTCTGGATTCCTTCACTGAGAGAACTGATAAATTAAAGGTAATGCTTACTGACAAAAGTTTGCCAGAGAGCATTAAAAGTGAATTGTAGGTTCCCAAGGGTCCGTAGCACCAGAGAAGTAACAAACCTGCTGACAGTCATCCCAGTAGGGACTGCACGTTCAGTCTGGCTGCAGAGTCAAAATGGGCTCAGCATGAGCTGCTTTGCAGCTGATGCCCCATGTGTCAAGAAAACTTTTCCAGTCTACACATTAGGAAACTGCTCTACAAGTTTTAATATTATTGATATTAGCAACTTTCACAGTAACATTTCAAGACTCAGAAAATCCCCCATGTCAGAACCATTCTCTAACAATATGTTTTTACTGGGAATGTGTTACGATTAAAGTTTCTGAGTACAGACTGTGCTCTGCATATAAGTAGATCAGTCCCTAAACGTTCATGAAAATCAGGCTGGAAGCGCCTTTGAGGCCTGACAGTCACTCCTCTCTAACCCACCTCTATAGCACCTTTGGCATGAAAGGTATTATACAGAGATGCACAATCCCATGCCTGTGCTGCAAGAGCTGGCAATTTAGTTGGATGTCTCAG